GTCGATCTAATTAACATTAATCCTAATCGCAAATTACGCCCTTTGCGGTCGTCAGAGATCCTCGAATGGTGATCGAACGTTACACGTCGACCACTTTGCAAGATCGAACTGACCATTTTTATATTAAGTCGAATTAACTCCTCGGCATCTCTTCTCGCGTTGACGTTTATCGCGAACGCCGCGTGTTCTTACATACTAAATTATACAACGTACATTTAAACATCGTCCTTCGATTCGGTAGAGATTTGCTACTGTACGGACACGAGCCCGCGATGATGGCACAGAAATCGGTAACCTTGTCTAAAAATTACATAGCAAATTTGCTATCGAGCCTGCCTATCGTCCTTTTCGTCGTTACCCTAAAAAAAAAAAACTGGGCAGTTTAAACCGATTCCAAGAGTCCAAGATAAACTTTTTCTTTTCAATTGTTAACCGAGGCTTTCGGATTTATCTATCTATTTTAATAGAAGCTAGATCGAAACGATAAGAAGTTTTGAATCGCAGGTATAACAAGTGCCCTCGCATTTTTCCACCGTCACGAATCAGTCATCCGATGAATTAGTACATCGATAGATATAATTGACTAGTAAATGTTGAATTTTTCAATCTGACATTGAACAACTATCACAAGGAAGCCCGTTGAAGTTAGGATATTCCGAAATAGAAGACGTTCCAGAGGTCTGAATATATTTTTCGCGCAACTTTAGACGCGTTCCCCAGTTAGATCCAGAATGTTTCCTCGTCGAATCTCCAAGATTCAGGCAGTCCGACATTTAGCGTGACGACGCGCCTCGGTAATACGAAATATGTGATAATACTAATTGCTTGGATGACCTTTGCGTGATCGGTGCACAGGAGACCCAAAACCCCGACAAGCGTTTATTGTATCGTTGCAGAAATTTTCTGCGGCAACGATTTTACGAGGCATTCCGCCACGGAAACGCGATTACTCCGACGTTTTGTCATCGTCTTTGTCTCTACCGTTGTACTCGGCTATTAAAAGGTGAACCGCAAGGCAGAAGAGGAGTCAGTCTCGCGTCTCCTCGATATTTTATGGCTGCTTAATCCACCAATTAGTCGTGGAATGTCGAGGCAATGAAACCCGCGCAACTTTTAAGAAGTTCTTCTTAACCTTCGCCCCAGAGTGCGAGACTCTAATCTGGGAATCGGAAGCGCACGGGTTACGTGACTGCGTTTTCCCTCGTTTATTATTTTCTCGATAGAATTAATTATCGAGCAGCCTGGCAAAGTTTTTAGGCGGATCGTTTAAGCCTTTCGTTCGATATATCGAGCCGCGACAATTTTTCCCAATCGTAATTTATTAATCGTTGGATAAATCGCGTCGTTGCTGATACACATAATTGTTCGAATAATCGCGCGGGCGATTCTGGATAGTGTTCGTCGTTATTGAGGATCCTCGAAGTACACACGAAGGACACATTTTTTCCCAACTTTCAATCGACTTGAATGCGACCTCAAGGAGTTCTGCTTTCGATAAAAAGCAGAAGAAGGTTTTTATGTATCGAGGAAGTACAAGTATTTCGATAAAATTAGTTCGCGTTCAAAAAGAATTGGCGTACTCGTGGTTCGTGAAATAAATATTTCCGCTGATCGTCCTACGATTATTCAGCGGGGTGTTCTCAACACCCACTCGTTTCTTTTTTTTTTCGTTTTTTTTTTTGTTTGGGTTAGTTGTCGTCGATCGAATACATAACAAGAAGAACAAGAAATAATCACGATTGATAGAATATCAGTTTTGTGCAAGAATGAATTTTCGTGCTTGTAAAGCTAAGATACGCGTTCACTTCGCAACTTTTTTTTCCTATTTTTTTTTTTTCAGACTCCTCGTCTTAGCCCCCCCTTTTTTCACGCATACACGGTTAAAAGATCGAATTTTAACGCGCATGATTTTTGCAGAACGGACGACCGCCTTTCGCGTAGAAACTTTGGCCCTCGAGGTTCTTCTTGCACATCTGTAACATGTAGAAAATCATAGAGTTACAATTCCTTTCGAGAAATAGCAACGGAGAAAATTTCATTTCTTCGTATATTTCTTGGCGGCAAAATCGATCGGTTTATTTCGAGAAGCATTCTCGCACTAATTGCGTACCGTGCAGTTGAAACACTGGCTGTGGTAATTATTGTTCAGGGCCTCTACCCAGCGATCTCCAGCTTCGACTGGGAATCCACACGCGAAACATTTTGTCGTGAACAGCTCGTTCCAATCTGTGCATAGAAAGGAATAATTCAATGGAAGAAAGTGACGATGTAACAGAGTAGTCTGCAAAACAGTTGGACTAACCTGCTTCACAGTAGGGCAATCCCTCTTCGAGGAAGAATGGGCTGTTGCCAAAGAGTTTGCCACAATACGAGCATTTGAAGCAATCAGGGTGGAAATGTTTTCCAATTGCGTTCAGACAGTCCTAAAATGATCACATTGTCGTTTAATCGATAGAATTTTCATTGCTCTCTAAGATAGTTTCTCGAGACTTCTTACTCCTTTGATCTTGCTGTTGCATTTGCTGCAAGTTGGTGCAATGAAACGTTCGAAGCAATACTCGCAGTAGAGTTGTCCCTTTTCCTCTACGAATCCGATATCTTGCAGTGGTCGACGACATTGAGTGTTGACGCAAACGAAGTGATCAGGACACCAAATTTGTCCCAAGGCAGTAATGAATGGCCCCCTAAATAGATCGGGATTGTTATTTTCTAGGCATTTTACGCAGGATCTATTGTAACGTTAAAAAGCGAAACATAGCACAGCGTGGGCGAATGTATTAAATGTATATTACGTAGAATATGTTTTCCCGATTATTTTACGAACCTTATGCACTCATTGTCGTTTTTACAGCAGACTGGTTTTACGACGACACCGTTCGACTTGTGATTAGTATTTTCTTCGTTAGCTGTTAACATCGTGCAAACAAGTTAACAATTGTTAATCACATCGGAACAAAATGAATCAATTACAGTTACTAATTAGATCGATTAAAAAATTTGTCAGGCGTTCTTTAATATGCATAACAAGCAACTCCAAAAGAAAAACAGAATAAATCAGAGATTAGACGATCATCGTTCCTCATGATCGTCCTGTATCTTTGCACAAACCAGGTGCAACCAAACTCAGTCCCACAAAATGTCGAGAACACACGATAAATCAGAGCACTGTGAAGCACATGTTGATGGTATTCGATAATTGATACGACACCAGCTTAAAAAATGCGACTCGTCAGAGCGAATCGTCATCGTTCGATGCGTGACAATGAGGAAAAAAAGAGAAAAAGAATGGGATGCGGCAAACACTGAAAATAAGTAGATAACAGAAAGAAAGAAAAAAAAAAACACGGCACACCGGTGAGCTAAAGGGGGGTGGAGTACCTGACGTAAGAGTTGCAATGGGCGCAGAGGGGCAATCGTGATCCCGGTCCAGTCGCTTGATTTAGGATTCCCCTTCCTCGCTTTGGCGCCGTGCTGCCAGCGAACGATCCGCTCTTCGACCCGGCACCACCGAGACCACCGACTCCGGTACCTAGATCCGGGTGGGATGACAAATTTGGTGGGTCTACTAAACTCTGGGTTTTACGAGAGGGCTCACAGTGGATACCGTCCTGACAGTAATTCTGGGTCTGACATTGATTCCCGGTTTGACAGCGGGTGTTCTTCGAACATTGCCCGCTCGACTGGCAGCGGGTTTCGGTGGAACAACAATAATTCTGGGTCTTACAGCAGTAGCTCTTGCTGTCGCAGCAGCTCTGGCTACTTTGGCATTGGGTTTGGGCTTGGGCTTGGGGTTTGTACAATTGCACAGTGGGAACTTTCTGGCCATTGGTTTTGGCAGTGAGTCGCGCGAGTTGCCCACTTAGGTTAGTGCGAGGCTTGTGAATTGGCTCGAAGGAGTTGGTGCTTCTAGGACAGGTTCTAGCAGGTTCGTCGTACGGCAGGGGGATCTGAGGATAGGGAAGTTTCTTCGAAGCGGGTAGACCAGGTTTGCTGCAGGGTGCCACGCACACTGATCCATCTGCACAAGGTGCTACGCAGATTCCAGACTCTGGACAGTTTGGAATCTCGATGTCGCAGGCGGATTCTCGGCCGCAACGACCTCCTGGTTGGCCGCAACAACCGTCGGACAGGGCACAGCTTCCGGTTTGCATACCGAAGCAGGGAGAGACACAGACTCCGGAACGATCTGACGTTGGTACCACGCATACGCCTGATTTTTGGCAGCTAGTGTTGGGTCCTTCGCATGGTACCACCACTACTCCTGCCTTGGTACCCTGGTCAGAGTGAGCTTTGCAGGGTAAGACTGTTACACCGGTGTCTGGGCAGGTCTTGGATTGTGGAGTTCCGTAGTTAACGTGACGTACTTCCGTCGAGCTACTGTAGACTGGTTGAGCAGAGCTTGATTCTGTTTTCGAAGACAGAGGACAAGGCAGAGAGGATTGATAAGAAGGACTTGTCCTTCCAATAGCACAGTACGTTGGTTTAGGTGGTTTCTCTCGTTGTTCTGGAAGAGGCCGAGCTGGTACTCTCTTTTCACATCTCTCAAAGTCTTCGGCGACTTCGAGGGATCTTTTTGTTATCGCCTGCTTGCTCTCGTTCGTTTCTTCGCTGGTCATGTATCTCTTTTCTTGGTACTGAGCATGAAGCGCGTCTGTAGGCTCTTTTCCAGCATCGGCTGTTCGTTTCTCGTCAAAGTCTACAGTCTTGCTAGCAGCATACTCTGCGTGTCTGTGTCCGTCGTCGGTGTCTTCGTCTATTTTGTAAGACACGCTCTTCTTCGTAGGGAAGTGTATAGAACTATGTTGCTTAGGTGGAGGAGGATCCTCTCTTATCCTTGGAGCGTGAGCTTTCATGTAACATGGAGGAGGTTCTGGTGGTCCAAAAGCAGGTGATTTCGATCTTCCTGGGGTTGGAGTTGGAGTTCTCGGAGGTTCGTACGTGTGACTTTCCACTGCGCTTTTCCTCATAGCGACCAAGTGCTTCTGGTACGATGGAATCGTGTCTGGTTTCTTCAAAGTAGCTGTTATTTTAGCACTGGGCGTCTGAGGTCGCGATCTAATCGGAGATGGAGAAGAATCCCTCAGGCGATAGTCAGGTGGAGGAGTTGGCAAAGGTCTAGGACCAGGTAGTTTAGGAGAAGGCGCAGTTTTCCGCTTTCCTTCGCCGTAAAGGATATCAGCAGGTGGACAGTATTGACTTCCATCACCCTGGATTACCGGAGTCTGCGAACGACTGGCGATATTCTGGTCCTCAGGTCCAATTTCTCGACTGAGAGGCGTATAAGGACGTTCCGGAGCGATCATGAGCGCTTCCTGGAACGGAGAAATCGGTCGAAGATCTTGTGGCTGTGGTTTAGGTCGACATCTACGATCCAAGTATATAGTCTCTTCCGTGTACACTTCTTTCACGCTGGAAGATGTACTGAGAGGCGTGAAAGGTCGGTCAGGAGCGGTTGTCAAAGCGTTCACCATTTCAGACTTCCACTCCTTTGCAGTGGCGTTCTGAAGAGCAGAGTGTGGTATCGGTTTTGGACCACTCTCTGTCTGCTTCACGAACTGAACGCGTTTCTTATTAGTTTCCATGACTTCTGCGGCTGGAGGATACTTGGAGCATACACGTCGATCCTTTGTCGGTGCCTGTTGATCTCTCAAACTTTTATGTACCTGTACCTGTTCTCTTAAACTCTTCTTGCGTTCACTCTCGATGGCTGCCTTTCTTCTAACTCGTTCTTGAACCAGTACTTCTTCCGTGATTTCCTCGTACGTCTCTTTGATGAGTTTCTTTTGTCCTGGAGTGTCGCTCTCAGCTTCCGTCACTCTTTCTTCGCGGACAACTGTTCTTCCCAGGGGTTGTTCACGAATTTCTTCCACTTCCTCCGCTTCTTCCTCGTAGGCCGCCTGTCTGCTTCGTTCCTCCTCCTCCTGTCTTCTTCTTTCTTCCTCTTCTTGCCGTCTTCTTCTTTCTTCTTCCTCCTCTCGTCTTCTTCTCTCCTCTTCTTCCTTCTTTCGTCTCTCTTCTTCCTCCTCCTCTCGCTTTCTCTCCTCTTCTTCCCGTTTAGCCTGTTCTACCATCTGTGTTACATCCACCGCTGTGGTCACCACTTCGGCAGATTCGACCACTGTCTTTTCTTCAGTCGTCTCGTCAACTTCTCTGTCAATGTGTGTAGCAGTTCTTCTAGCGTACGTTTCTTCAGAAGTTTCCACCATTTCTTCCTGGGATTCCTCCCTAGTTTCTTCCCTTGCTTCTTCCACCATGGGAGTACTAGGTCTCGCAGGAGACGGATTCTTCTCGATAGTCTTCTCAAAGGTCATCTTCTTCTTCACGTGCATTCCGTCTACGTCTTCCTCCGATGCCTCGGTGAAGTAATCATGCTCCCCCTTAATTCCCACACCGTTGTCCTCGATTTCATCCGCTGGTCTCAGGTCAGTCACCTCTTTATCAATCTCCGTGATCTCTTCTTTCTCCTCTTGCTGCTTCACCGTGTGCTGAGTGGGCAACGGGGGCTTGTCGCAGATAGTCTGTTCCAATCTACAAACCTCAGACTTGTACGAACGATGTTCCTCTCTGAATGGTTGGTTCCTCTCGCATATTCTCTCCCTCTGACAAATCTCCTTGTGATGGTACTTCTTGCACACCTTTGGTGGCTCGATTCCCGCATAGCTCTGCTCGTAGAGGTTACCTCCTGTGGTAACAGTGGCTGTCCATGGCTTAGGTATAGGCTGGACGATTCTAGTCGGTGTCAAAGATCTCCTGAGACTGTCTGCCGAGCTGGGTCTCGATGTTACCTCGCTTCTCGATTGTCTACCGGTGGTTTGCACCAGCTCGACCTTTCTGTAAGCGGGTCCTGGACAACTGACACGGTCCATCGGGTCCTCGCCGAAGCGATAACACTGTCTGGTGACTCTTTCCACCTCTCGATCGGTGCTTTCGCACCTCTTTCGCGACAGAGCTCTCTCACAGGCCTCTATGCAGGCTCTCTTTTCTTTCACCGCTTGCGTGCTTCTTTGATCAAGGGCGGGATTGGGATCGATGTACAAAGGACTGGCGGTAGGATAGGTGACGTCTTCTATGGGCTTCGGTGGTGGCCAGTTGAGGCTTTTCGATTTTACAGAGCTTGGAGGGTACTCGGTTTTGGTGTTCTCGATGATCTCGTAATAGTAGGACTTTTCGTGGGTTTCCGTCGTGTTTTCTGGGATCGGGATGATATTTCACAGGATCGTTCGAAGAATGGAATTTCGATAGGATCAAGGTGGACGAACATCGGGAATAGACAGAAGATTGCACGAAACGTTTATCACATGCATGCGTTTGGGGCGACACAGGCGATTGGTTGGAGCGTCAGGGTGTGTTAGAAAGAACGAAAAAAAAACAAAGAAATCAGCTGTGAGTAAGAAGCACATTGGCTGACACGTGCCCGTGATCCTTTTATCTTTCAATGTATTCATTATGCTCGATTATCGAACGTTTAGCGCATGGTTAAACGGTTAGGTGGATCACGGGCACGTCCAGGACGCTAAATAAAAAGTAGCGCAACTTAAAAATGAAAGAGAATGGTAGAGAGCATAGCTGGTATCACGGAGGTTTTCGTTCTCGTGATAAAAAGCTACGTTCAAAGCGAAGAAAAGCCAAAAGCAAGTGCTTGAACTTGAGCGTTACAAGTGAGCAGTCGCACTTCTCCAAAATCACTCGGCACTCTCGAACACTCTGCCGTTTGAAAATACAGGGTCTACAGGCTCGAAGATAAATCGCATCGATCTAAGACCATCGTAAGAGAAAGAATTAAAAAAAAAAAAAACAAATCAAAGAGGGAACACGAAGTTTGAGCGCTGCGGGTTAGCATCTCGACCATCGAGTGCCTCTCGAAAGCGTCGATGCGAAGCCAGGAGACAAAATAGTTAATCAACGATACTTTTTGGAGGACCTTTGGAGGATCCTATGTGTGTGTGTGTGTATGTGACATGAAATGGAAAAAGGAACAACATGTAACGAGCGAAGAGCTTGCTCGGCTTGACTGTCGCTTTATTTTTCGCAATTGCAGTAATTTCTCAACACTTTAACGAGAAAATCATTCGTCGACAATGATAATACACGAGATAATTCGACCCACGACCCTCTCTCTATCTCGAAACGTACGATTCCATCGACGGAAAGAAGAGACATTGAATAGAACTGAATCGTTGAACCTTTCGTTCGAATCGGTTTATTCGAGATTAAAGAAGAATCGTGCCTGTCGAATACATAATAGTTATTTCATAGAATTGGATTGTTCGATTCGGCTGTCAGCACGAAGACGACGACGGCGTAGCTGAGAGCTACCGACTCATGCGAATGTGAGGGAGAAGGGTCTGGGTTTCGGGTTGAAAGATGGACCGGCTGAAAAAAGATAAGAAAAGAAAAAATTATGTCTGTGGGGAAGAGGACGAGCATGAATGGATGTATGAGCTTTTTTTTTTCAATCGAACCAACAATTCGATTTCTTTTCACTCGTACAATCATATTGTAAAAAAAAAATCTCTTCGGGCACTGACTTCCACTCGTACGTGTATGGAATGATACGTTTGGAAAAAAAAAAAAAGAAATAAAAAATCACGTACAGAAGATATACGAGAGAAGAAAAGAAGAAAAGAAACACGTGGACATTTTTATCAGAGTGTCTTCATCGTTACATAAGCTGCTTCTTGTTCAAGCAGACTTTGATTCATTTACACGCTATTCAGGTCTCCGACGATTCGATCGTCCCAGTTTCATTTCGATCGGTCCACATCATCATCTGGTCCACGATCGTAATTAACACCCCGATAAATGTGTCATCCGTTTCCTAACGGACATGAAATGTCATAAAGTATGGTATACGATGATCAAGATCTTTGTGATTCATGAGATGAAACGCCATAGCTCTCAGAACTCGCCGTCGACGAGCGGATGAAAGCCAAGTTCGACAGAGAGCTTGTGAAAAAAAGGAACCGAGTTGAATCGGTGAAGACGATCTCTTCCGAATGATCCATGGAATCGATCTCTAACGAATCGGAGATGCGAATGGAGGGAAGAAAAAAAAGAAAAAAAGAGAGAAATGCGAGGACGTAAGCCAAATGGGGCGTATTAGCCAAAGCTAGAAACTCGGTCAGAAGGTGCGGATCTGGTCGTCGTACCTCTGAAGGGCGTATTTTTTGGCAGCGCCGAGAGTAGACCTATTTGTAACAATCGAAGAGAGAAAAGTGAGGCCAAGGATAATAGAGGCGGGATAACCGCTGTTAGAATTACAACCGATCGACCAGAGATCGTTCCTCCAGATACCAGACGAGAAAGTCGGGCTTGTCATCGGTAATTTATACGACCGCGTGATTTCCGCTTTTGTTTCCTGCTAACGTTACCACGTTTGACATGCCTATGGCGTGCCACTCGTAATTATCGACGGAATGTTCGCGTCGCGACGCGGAATTTCATGCACGTAACTGATTTTCTGTGGCTGAAACGCGAGAATCGTGCTTCTACAAACGAGGAAATCATTTTTTCCCCCCTCTCTCTCTCTCTCTCTCACTCTGTCTAGCTTGACGTTCTTACATAATAGGATCGTAATTATGTAACGACAAGCTGTATGATGGAAGAACGATGTCATTTTCATCATTGAACGCCAATTTTTTCACGATTCTCTCGAGGAGATTAGCTCCTTTATTGATTCGTTACAGCGAATCTCACGTCGCTTATTTAATCATGAAGACAAGAACTTACCGGTCACAGTCTGACTCTGTGGTCGTGGCAGAGTGCTATTCCCCGAGTTCGCTAGCGGAGGTGATGATAGATTCGATGACAAAGTACTCGATCCTCCGAAGGGCTTAGGACCAATTAAATTGTTCGACGTTGGAGCCTGTGAGATGGAAAATATATCGTATTATTCGATGTTTTCTCTTTATCGGTACAAAATGAATGAACTGATAGCGCATAATAATGACACGATCGACGAATTAACAAATGCACAATGGTGTCTTGCATTCCGACAGACAAAAGAGAGATACGAAAGACGTGAATCCAGTTAGGCGTGGAGTATTAGTGAGAGGCGTTGTGACAAAACATGACAAATGCAATATGCACATTGCTACTAATCTAACAACTAGTCTAGCATCTACTTATCTAACGAGTAGTTCCATTAACATAAAAAAAAAAAAGAACACGAACGACGGACATTATTAGTTGATTCTCTATTCTCCGCTGCCTTGACACCATGTTGCATAGACACAAAAGAATTACTCGATCTCTTTCATCGGGGAGAAAAATCTCGCGAATCTTTTTCTCGCTAACACCAGCACCTTTTCCTCTGAAAGCAACGGTAACTTTGAGAGATACTCGTGATTGTTACACCCATGATTACAACCCTTTCACGCACTAGATCACGAAACCGATAGGAGATCACGAAAATTCAAACACAGTCTCTCTCTCTCGCTCTCTGGTATACAATTCTCCATGCTTGAATCTCACACGGCAAAAGGGACTTGTCGACTTCTTTTTGTTTTTTTTTTCGTTCTCTTTCTTTTTTTTTTCTGTCTCTCTTAAAACACGACGTACTTCTCTGGAGAGCATATCTGGTGTTCAAAGCAGCGGCACCGCGGTCAGCGTGATTTTCATCGGTTCGCTAAGGACGTACCTTACCAAGTGTAAGGTTTCGAGTGCGAGACGTTTAAGACGAGCCGCGTTGGGACATTACCTGGACTGATCGGAAACTGGGTGGATCGACGGGCGTAGTGCCAAGGCGGGTGGGCTGCAATACATAAAACGACAGAACGATGTCACGTGGAAGTGGCAAATTAGAAAAAAAAGAGGTGGGGAGGTAGATGGGGGGTAACACGCATACTCCTGATCGTGCCAGGATAATTAGTCAGAGCATCGAAATAATCGTCGTCGACGTGGCACGATTGATTGTTGTCAGATAGGGTAGATTTATTATCGAGTCTACCATGAGGAAGTCTACAGAGAAGGACGATCAGGTCGAATATCATACCGATGATTACCGATACCCTTTCGTAATTGGCACTTAGACTTTATTTCCTGCTTCTTTGTTCTCTATATACCGAATTTTTCTATATCCATCCGTGTTGTTCTACGGATTGACTCAGCGTGTATTTTAGACTGTTTACTTTTAAATATAACCACGAATCGAAGCTTTACGGACGTCTCGGGATTTCTTCGAAGTCGACGACGAGAATAATCGGCGAAGCTGATTAATTCAACGATCTCTGTCGTTCGTACAGGGGAACGTTTAGGTAGACGAGAGATTTTTGGAAGAGACGGGCTTAACGACGGATTTACAGTCGCGTAAAAATTCACGGGGTTATTGCGAACCTCTGTGCAACCCGTCTGAATGGTGATCGTGCTCGTAAACGTTTTCGATTCCCAGTGGCAGTTCCCGTTGCTGATGCATCCGTTTCTATTCAGGGACGACAGCCGGGAATTCGGGTATCCGAAATCGGGACTCGTACGATTGCAAGCCTGGAAAAGCGATTAGTGCCAAGCAAAGACCACACTTGTCACGTCTTTAATTATTCTGATTCTAGTTTCCTTGGAATTTTAGTGAAAAGAAGAAAAAAAAAAAGATAGTAGTTGGTGAAAATCAAGTTCGCAATAAATTAGAAGAAATCGAAGCGATATCGTACGATTAATTTCGGCGTCACTCGCGAACGCGAAGCAAATGCTAGATGCACAATCTTCGAAACAGTAAAGCAACAAGTACACAATTGCATCGAGAATACTCACAGAGAATGGTTGAGGCGACAATGCGTGATTGCTCAGAGATGGAGACAACGGTGCATTGGCGAGTGCAGCGGAAATCGTGCTCGCTGGAGCCTTTCCACCTCTGAAAAGTTTAATTACCGTTTCGTTGCAATTTCATCAAGCCGTTTCCTTCGTTATTTCGAATAATTCATTCAGCTCCAGACTTATCGTACATCTCGAATGGAATTTCTGCGATTAAGAAATAGCAAGGAAAAACGTATTGAAACACTTACGGCGGTATAGTGACCGGAACCATTCCAGAAGGTGCATTTTGCCTGGCGACTAATTTCGCGTGTATATCGCAGTACAATTTGTTGTTAATGTTGTAATAGCCGACGTTCTTCAACGAAGTGCCACAGGTGGAGCACTTGAAACACTCCACGTGAAGATTCTTATCCTTGATCCTGACGAAGACACCCCTACGGAGAAGAACGACGAATTAACAAACGTTTCTTTCTTCGTTGAATTTGTTTTAATAAGTGCAGAGTGCTTTGTTGTCGGATGTGCCACGAGTTTCGGGGGTCTGAGTATTTTGAGACAAGAGGAGGGACTCGATACCTCGACGAGGGAGGCCGAGAAAACAAGATTCGTCACGTTGTATCGTGGTGTTTGCTGAGAGAAACTAACGTGAATGTATGAAGTGTTACGTGAAATGCATCTTAGTCAATCCTTATCACGTACAATGTACCATGTAATTTATTTACGGTCCGGAAAAAAATCTCTTCGCGTACATAAAAATTACGTGTACGCAAACGAATAATCTTCGACGATGAATGATCCTTCGTGACACGGTTTGAAAAAATATTTCGTGTGTAGAGAAAAAAAGGGGTGCAAAAGGTGTGTTCACAAAAATACTAAAAAACGTACAAAAAAACACAACATTGATACAAAAATAATGTTGGAAAAAAAAACAAAAAAGACACAACATCTAAAGCACAGTTCCACGCCACCCCGGTGATTACGTACCGGAGCGATTCAACAGATAAACACAAAATGCGAGATGATGATGCGATGGTGGTCGAGGAATGAACAGATACAAATCTGGCTGACGAATTCCCATGAAAATTAAGCGAATGATTTACCATACTTTTACTCCTCGCAGAGTGATGAGAGGTCGTGGAATCGAGGGATAATTCGTTCGTCTTTTTTCCCAAAGAGCGATGACAGACGAAAAAGGCGACAGAGAGTGAGAGAGAGAGAAAAAGAGAGAGAAAGAGAGGAAAAGAGAAAAATTTTGTGCTTCCAGTTAAAAAAACATAGCGGCAAAATTCGTGCACGTGTACAAAACATCAATATCTCCGATGGAATAGGTACGATGGACGAATGCGAAAAATGCACGTTCTTGTCGTCTTAATTTGGAAAAAGCGTTTCGAGATGATATCAGCGTACGACATTCGAGCAATCCAAGGCGGCCGTAATTTAGCGTATTTGACCGACCGTGAACGTCACGTCGGGAACGACGATCACAATTCGCAACTAATTATGAAAAAAGAAAAGAAAGAGGACAAAGTATCATCAGGTCGTACGAAAAAAACGTCTACAAGTATAAAAATGTGACAGAAAGAAAAGGAATAGAAAAGAAAGAAAATAAATTTGGAATTGCAATCTAGTTCCCAGCCACATGTACGTGACATATTTCTACAGGTGTGAGACATTTTATATAGAAGCGACATATCGCCGAGAAGCTGAAGAGTTTCCGGTCCATCTCGACCGTGCAAGGGAAGAGAGGATTTTTCACGTAGAATAGTTACACGATCACTCGGTCGCAGTTGCTACAACGGACAGCTGACGATGACACTGAGCCGGGAGAAGAGGACTCCTGTCGTTGGACTTGACGTTTCGCAGAAGTTTCATTGGAATTGGAGGCCGGACCTCTACCGTGGAGGTAATGAAAGAGAGGCGTGGGTGATCTCGGCGATGTGGCCCTTCCGCCAATCGCGTGGCTCACCGACGAGTAAAACTCTGTTCTCGGAGGAACTACGACATGGAAGTAGAAGAAACCGCACTGTCACGCTCGACCAGATACCAGAAACATATCTAATAACCGCTAACGACAACGAACGAACGTTCTCTGTTATCTCTTGTCCTCCACTTTCACGAATTTTCAAATCGTATCGAATCCATCTTTCTTTTTATCCTCTGTTTCAATTCAAATCGATAATACCGAGCAACTTCGTATAATCTTCATATAATCAAGAAGAATGATCTTTTTGGTTGCTTTCGTCCGCAGAGGATTCGATAAGACGTGAGAAATTCAGACGCAAGGGGTGTGTTGGCCCTCTTCTTGGGTCGAAAGGAAATCACGTCACGCTCCCTATTTTCCTTTCTCGTTCTCGACGTCTCTCTGAAAGAAAGAATGTAAACGACCGAGAGGCGATCAGCGTCTCGGCGTGAACTTACACGATGAGCCTCTCGCATTCGGCACAAATGTTCTGTCCAGGTGGAAGGCTCGATTGCGGTGTGGACGGTTGCTGTTGCTTGGTTTCCGGCGCGGAGACTGGCCTCAGTCCTGCCAGGGCCGGCGAAGACGGCGTAATCACGCCGCACTGCGCAGTTGGCTCCGCTATTTCGCAAAGAAGTTATCGTACCGGCATGCACCAGGCTAATACTGGAGCCAGCTGATCCAGTCGAGATAGAGAAAAAAATCACCGGAGAGAGGGAGAGAGATTCGTTCTTTTTCTTTTTTGTTCATTACGCGTTACGCTCTTTTTAAAGTACACAACTATTCGTTCCACGCTCTATGCCCATCGTTAATTCCCATAATTACGCTCTCCAGCGATATTTTTTCTTTTCTCTGTTTGTTGTGTCTCGTTTAGCATAAGACGTTGAACTACTCAGAACTACGACAGAGAAGTAACTGGAAGGTTCTCGATAATTTACCACAAATTTTCAGTAATTCTACAAAGTATCGAAGGTAGGAACCGATGTTTCGTATCGGTTGTATAATCGGCTACTAACCAGGTTCCGGCGTCTTTGGTTCTTTGTCCGCTTCCTGGACCATTTTGAACACCTCACTGTTCTCCGCGTTGTAGTTCTTCTCGTTCTTTTTGAAGTTCACTCTGAGGAACAAAGTCGGCACTGTTACGAATGCTGTTTTCCGTATAATCGTGCCTTTCGATCGGAGAAGAGCTTACCCAAGCACACCTCCTGCTAGCACTTCCGCTTGCGCAGACAGGGTTTCCGCGATGGTCTCCTCGCTGTAGATACCCACTGGGCTGTTGTACTGTTTGTTAACGATAGATTTAATCGAACCATCTCCCGTTCCATTCAGCTACAACATGAATAAACATTTATCAGAACCATGTGTTATATTTCGAGATTCCTCTAATTCTTCAACTAATTCACACTAACGAATGGTTTTGGACTGAAATTGTGACCGCTTCCGATGTGCGATCCGTCCTGTTTCTTGGCTGCCAGGGATGTCTTGGTAACTGGAGCAATATTGCTCATCCCCGTGGGCGATGGTGAAGGTAGACTCGAACTTATCGGTGACACGTGTGGCTTCCAGGTACCGCCACCTCTGTGAACAGTAGTAATTGGGTAAATGTAACGTAACGATTTAAATATACTTGCTGATTAATAGTTAAGATCGAGGCCGTGCCTGTCGCTACCTCTGTACGGTCAACTCGAAATTGTTCCCAGCTCTGACGATAACATCCTGAGCGTCCTTGTGCCTCAGATTGTACATCTCGGTGTTGTTCACCCTGATAACTGCATCGCCGGCCTTCAGACCAGCTGCTTCGGCTGGTGAACCGGTATTAACCTGCAATGATTAACGTTTACTTGAACAATTGTATAACAGTATAATCGTTAGAGCTCGAGTCTTTAGACATCGATACACGTCTATTTTTACAAGAGACACACACACACAGTACTCGAGGAGAAGACGTCTCTCCTCTCCATGGTCCAGACTCGAGCCACTATATTTAAGTGCACCCGGCTCGTTACACCTCGAATGTTGGATACTGTGAGTCCATTCACGCGAGGACGTTCGAAAAAAGAAGGATCCGCCTAAGAACACGCAGGGACGTCGAAGAAGAAACCAGGGGGAGGCCTTATTGAAGTCTAAGAAAACGCTTTTTGCTCCTTCTAAAATCCCCCACTCTCTCCATCACCGGCTGTTTATTCCCCTCCGCGATTCATTAATCGCGCAGCGCCAGACATAAACGGCCTGATGATCCTTTCTGTTTCATACGTTCTCGAAGAAATCGCGGATTATAATTCTTTTCTAGCCTGCTCGAATCGCGACACTGCCAATCGTCGTTATTTATGCATCGCTCCGCTTTATCTTTCCTCGCCTTATTCAACCGCAACAGAGAACGCCTGGGCAATTAAGGAAATGAATTACCTCGCGTGATCAATGAGTCGCTTTAAGTCATCGTAATTTATCGCGTTACACCTCGCACTCTTTATAACGACGATATTTTCCTCCGAGTTAATTACGCTATTAATATATTTGGTAACCAGTACACAGAGAAAGAGAGAGAGAGAGAAACGAGATGCGTGCTCCGTTTTACCAGGATCTTCTTGTCTACTCAACTCTTCCCAAGACTCCTGTGATCCCTATTCGACCAGTGATTAAGAGTAATCGATACCTTCCAATGGAAGAAAACGAAACGAAAGCTCATTAAGAGCCTCCTATAGCTAAAGGAGTACTCGGTTCTTCTCGTTCCATCGTCTTTTTCCTTCGACGTTCTGGTAGAATCGGGAATAATTAATAGACGCCACGAGAGAGCCAGGCCTAGTTCTTTCTATAAATACGTCTGTAGGTTTCTTGTAATTTATTATCGTTATTTTTATTGAGAGATCTCCGTGACGCGGAGGAGGAGAATGATACTGGATTCAGCCTACGTGTAGAGCGAGCTCTGAATAATTTTTCCACCAACTAAAGGATGAAGACGCTTGTGTGCTCTCTCGAACAAAATCTTTTTCAATATCGTTGTTTAATCGACATGTTTAAACGACACGTTCGGTTTTTCACCGACAGATAAACTCGGTTAACAGGTTAATAATCAGCGTAACCTCTCTTCCTGGCGCTTTAAGCCTGGCGTCACGAGGAGGAAAATCAGGGCAGAGGGTGAGTCGTTCGATTCTCGCGGCGCGGCGTCTGCCTCCAGAAATAGGAGCGCGAAATTGCGTCATCGTTGTTGCCGTAATAGTTGGATATGTTTGCTGTGCACGTTATATTATCAACAGAGCCGCGGTGGCTGTTGGAACGAAATGGCGGGTTCTACGAAAGGCAGGAACCAGAGCTGTGCGTGTGTGATTTCTCTAGGGAAAAAGGATGCCGCCGATTTCACCAAGATGCGCTCTAATGGTCAAGGAACCTTGTTGTACTACTCCTCTCTGTCCTCTAGGTCCAACGAGAAGACACGTAGGACGTGGACGTAAGTCAGGGTTAAGCTCGTTGGGCACCGTGAAAGCCTGCCATCTAAAAATAGTCCCGGACCGGTTTAAAAATAGGCCCCGAACACGTACGGCCCGCTTATTCCTACGCGTATACTCGGCCAGAGCCAAACGGAGAAGTGAGAATGCACCAAGGTGCACCGGCATAGTCTTATACGTATGACATATCGGAGGCAGTGGAGGCAGCCGTGTTCATTCTACGAACGCTCCTGCCACCGCGTGAACCGCGATGAATGAACGAGTACGCGCTGAGATACGTGTTTGGAGCGGCGAGGCGCATGCTTCAGGTAATAATAGCATCTGACAATTTTGGATAAAGTATACCTCGCCTCTGGCCGCCTTCCTCCGTCGTAATGGAGTAGACTGATTCTCGTAATTAACCGATCGAGAGGGGCGTGTGTACGATGGAAAATAACGAGAGCTTCTTTTCTTTTTTTTTCCTTCTTTTTTTTTGTTTTTTGATCAACACCCCGAAGATGGTGAAAATATTAACGCGGTGGTTTCGAACGTTTATTTTCCCATAAAGGATACACGGTTGTTGATCGATGAAACGTGTGTCCATCGCGAGGTGCACAGGAAGATTCTTTAGTAGCTACGGGGTTGAACGGTATTATTAATAACGACGTATCTAAAAATACAGCCGAAATATGTGTGACGGTGCAAGCAGATGCACTTGAATGCAGTGGAACCGAGAGGGAGAATACGCCAAGGTGTACGAGGTACGCATTCCAATGGGCGGGTTATCAGAGACGGATCCATCCCACCTTCCATGCCTGGAATGCATTTCTCTTCTTTTTTCTTTCTCTCACTTTGAGGACTTAAGGCTCCGTTCATACGTGCGATACTTCTCGAAAAAGCGTGGTGGACAGGAGAACGGGCCACGGTTCGGTCAGTGACACCGGTTTTAATCGGACCAAATGAAAGGGAACGCGTTCGCAATGGAAATAAGTCACCGATACTTTCGCGTGTCTTCGTCTCGTTCCTGTTTCGCCATTAGCGTCGTTATGAATTTTATTGCTATCCTGTGCCCGCTATTAATTGCCTCGCTAATGAACCAACGTATAAAACCGAATACAAAAAGAAGGGAGATAAGGGAATTGTATCGGGACTTATTGGTCAAGTGTAACTCTGCGGGATTATCAATTAGGAATGTAAGAATGGAATTTCAAGGAATCTTCTTTCGTGGGAATCTTTCATTTTTCCCACCACAGAGAGGTACCATCCACACACGGGCAAATCCGTCGCATTCGTGGATACAGTACTCGCGCCACTCTAATTATATTCGCGCGAACGTCGAAAGGTTCGCGGCCACGCGGAGGAGCAAAGTCAACGGTGGTCTTTGTTGTCCTAAGGTAGAGCAGAAGAAGAAATAGACAGTGACGTCAGGTCGAAATTATTGGCCTACGCTCTTCGAACCTGGCCTTATCTTTTCAAACAAAGTGCTGCACGTTGCTGTTCACGCCGCGAGATGTTAACAATATACGTACACGGGGTCTAGACGTGTACCGTTCGCGTGTAGCACAGTCGTAAACCTCCTTCTACGGAAGCCTGAATATCGATGACGTTCGTATATACGAGATATACCGGCAGGAGTACGTACTAGGAACATCGACAATTTTTTCCTAATCCAGAACACACGACACAGTGTCGAAATGTTTCGCTGTGAAATTCGAATGGGGTTCACATTACCATGCAAATCTTTATCTTCGTCGTAATTATTCTAATCGTGGCAAGTCTAATTTCATTTTGGACAACATATGGACTCGTAAAACGTGTTTAAGCACTTCATACCGGTGACAGTCGTAAATTCAGCGCCCAACAGGCCAGGACACAGACTTTTTCTCGGAACAGAGCGAGTGTATATACGTGACCGAGCGTTTCAGCGCGGAAACCAGGAAACTGAGAGGTCGACGAATTCGTGAAAGCGGATTTCGTTCTGAGAGGTGCGCGCAATGATTAGGCTCGATGACACACACACACACACACACAGTCGAGCCGGAAGAACGCGTGTGTGCCACAAAGGGCCCTTGTCAGACGCTGTTCAACGGAATCGTGCACGAGGGGAGAGAGTAAGTGCTTAGGTGACTTAAGAATCGAAATCGAGACGCGCCGGTCACTCTCTCGTCGATGACGCGGACCAAGAGCGTCCAGAATGAGCTCACCTCGCTTCTTCGTCAGCTGATAAAGAGAAACCGACGCAAGAGTGCGAGTATAGTAAGCATTGTCGATTAGAGTTATCGCGGCGACGCGACATTCGCATTTTTTATTACTCGTTCACTTTCAACGGAACTCCAATGGGCGTACACATATTGGCCGCAAGGCTATTTTCAAACACGGAAACATATGTTTGGAGCAAGTTAAACCGTTTATTTGCCTTCTTTTCTGTTTTTAATGGAACAATAACGGGCCCCCGATGGAAATGTTAATTTTACGGGTGTTCGATAATGTCGTAATCGCGATGCGATCAGGATGACGGGGTGTCGTATTACCCACGAATTCACGAGGCGCTACTCTAACAGAGGCAAACATACGGGAGAAGACTGATTTCTGGTCCGACTTTTGGCAAATTTCCCACAACTGCCTCCTCCCACTGTGTCTCTTCATTCCCGAAATCGAATCGGCATTTACAATGGCGCTCCTAAATCTTCGACTTCGTCATCGAGATACAATTTCACTCTGCCTTGTCTGGCTTTTCTCCTTCTCACCCCGCTGACAACGCGAAAGAAAAAACCACTACAACTATCATGTTCAGAGAATTCTCCCTTTATCCTACGCGTTGCTCCGACAAAAAAAAAACGAACTTTTACAGAAGACATCTCTACTTGAGCTAAGCTCCTTCTCCTTATCAACGATTTCATACTTCCTGAACGTTGCAACCGTGAAAAGAACTGCTCGGATTATCCGCGTTTGATAAACCAGACTCTATGCCAAGTTCCCTCGAGTTCAAGTGTCTACACGATTGTCTTCGATATTGTTGAGGGTTAAAGAGAGAGAGAAACGCCCGAGTGAAAAGTAGAGGATGGAATCCGGTGAAAGAAAATGGAGGCAAGATGAAAGGGCGCGCGTCGCGGCGCAATAATCGTGTAAAATAAAGGCGAAACGTGGCCTCGTGAAAGACGATGAAGAAGAAGGAGAAGAAAAAAAGAAACGGTTAGGGAGTTGGGAGGACGCGGTGAGAAATAAAAGCGATATTTTTATATCCACGGGTGTAAGCTCGTCGGTGGCGTCCGCCACCGGGCCTCGGCCTCTATTAATATCCACGGGCCGGGCTTCCTTTCGGCCTCCGCAGCAATTCTCTTTGCACCGGCGGACCAACGATCGACCACCGGAAAGAGAGACTCTCCGATTGGGAAAAAA